GGGGGAGGTCAGGGGCATCAGTTTTGTGCAGACTGCTTATTAGATAAGCATCAGATGAACAAACCCTATGGAGAGATGGGTCACAGGTTAAGAGCATGTACTTCTCTTGCGGAGGACCTAGTGCCCATTTTGGACAACTCACAGTCACCTGTAACTTCAGTTCCAGGGGGATTTGACATCTCTGACTTCTGTGGACACCTGCATTTACATGCACATAGCCCTGTGCACATACATATATACATATATGTTTTTAAATATCAAAATTAATGTAAAGAATATCCCATTGTAGGGTCTGAGGAAATACTGAAGGATACTCCTGTCTCAAATAGTATGTAAAAGCAAAGAGCATTTATTAATATTCCTGCATGCATGTGGTGTCATTCACCTGTACAAAATGGCACTGACCCCGAGAGGAGTGTGTAGGCTCCTTTTAAGCACAGCTAAGGGAGTTTCAGGAACAGTTATGTCATCTCATACATAATTGGCTAAACAAGCAGCAGTTTGCTAGTATCCTTTTAATTGGCTGAAGTTTAGTCTTATCATCTTTGGACATACTTGTACAAGCTTAGGCAAGTTTGGACGTGACTCAGAAGGGGCTGCTGGATTTGTCCTTGAGATATTGTGAGGCTGGCTCAGGCCTCAACTCCGAACGCAGGGGCATTATAGATAAATGGCCCTTCGTGGGAGAGCCTCCTGTTTTGCTTTTCTCAGAGAACTGAAACCTAAACTCACTTGTGGGAGTGGGAGACTTTAACCCCTTCACCTTGAAGAGCTCAGATCTTAAACAGGAGTCGGATGAAGCTGTGTCACAGAAATGGACACTCTAATGTAGTCTGACTATCTCCCAACTTGTAGGACCTGCCATTACTGGGGGTGGAAGAGGTCAGGGCAGCATCATAGGGAACCACACGGGGCATGTTTGTCGTGGGAAAGAAAGGGCTTCCAGAGCAAGGGGAGGATGCTGTTGGGCACTTTGTGCTAGGCTTTGCTTTACTGTAATGATGAGTATCAATTGCTGCTTCACACTGAACACATTATACAACAGGCATGCTTGCTATGGCTGACGATTGAGTCAACTCGTATTCACATTTTATATGTAACTTCACGTTTTGTGTGTGCGTGTGTACGTTTGAGTGTGTGTACATGTCTTTGTGCAGGCCACAGGTCTGCCTTAATTGCCTTTTGCCTTAGTTTTTGAGAAAGGACCTTTCACTGAAGCTGGAGCTCACTGATTGGGGTAGGATGGCTGACCAGCAGTTCCAGGGACCCTCCTGTCGCTGCTTTCCCACTGCAGGGGTTATAGGTGCACCCCTGTATTCAGGTTCTGACTGGCCTGGACAGCATATATAGACCTGGTTAGCTTTGACTCACAGAGATCCACCTGCGTCTACCTTCTGAGTGCTGGAATTAAAGCCATGAGCCACCATGCCTAGCTGCACCTGGCTTTTTGCTGTGGGTGCTGGAGGTCTGAACTTGGGTCCTCCTCTTGCTCATCAAGCACTTTATCCTCTGCACCTATGGTAGATGTGGTGTCTTGGCATTGCCAGTAAAAGCTGAGGCCTGTTAGAAACTGTAAAAGCTGTTCTGTTAGTCAGCCGCAAACACAGCCCCCAGACAACCCCCTTCCCGGCTCTCTTCTTGTTGGCTTCAGTGCTCTGAGGAGTGGAAGCCCTGGCATGCCTCTGGAACTTACCCCGTGTTTCAAAGCAGATTGGTATAGATTTCCAAATTAAATTATGGCCACCGCTTGTGTTAAAAGGTAGGCGAACTGCGCTTTAAATAGACCACATTAATTCTGAAGTGGAACCCTGTTGGGATAATCGTCATCATCAACGGCATCACTGACGGACTTGAAAAGGATCTTCACAGTAAGCAAAACACTCTTCACAGTAAAGTGCTACTGGTGTTCAAGGTCAGAGGGAGGTCACTGTAGTTTTTGAGAAGGCAGAGTGCCAGTGAGAATCACTTGCCGGCTGAGGGTAGTGTGCTTCCCAGAGTCCCCTGTTCTGGTGTTTGAATGTAATTTTCCTTGGGCATAAACAAATGTCTTTTCACAGCCATAGGGAACTGACAACAGGCCAAACAATGATTGCACCTAAGTCTAGTTTGATGAACCACAGTTTATTGGGGTTACTTATAGAATCATAGCTGACTCAGGGGAATGTGTCGTAGAAAGATCACCCTAGAATGGGAGATGACTCAACAAAACTGCATGTCCGGGACTTCTGTCTAGCTTGCGGGCAGCTCCATTAATGAGTCTTTCCCCTCATCAGGTGTTTGCGGTTTTTATGACTCTGAATGGGCCCTGTGAATCCTGAAACTTTAAGGACTTTCCTAAGCTTTGTCTTCAGAGCTCCCTCCCTCCTGGAGAGAATGGTTTAGCTCACAGGAAATGGCAGAGGCACAGTCTCTGCTGTGTGCTCTATGTGGTCTGAGGAGGACTGAGGGTGAACTGCACTTTCTCCTGGGAAGTTTGCTCTGAAGAGTGAGCCAGTGAGATGGCTCAGCTGTAAAGACTCTGGTCACCTAACCTGACAACCAGAGTTCAGTCTCTGGGATCTGCACGGTAGAAGGAGAAAACTGACTCCTACAAGTCGTTCTCTGACCTTTGTACATGTGTTGTGATGGACATACATACGCTAAATAAGTAACCAAGTTAAAGGCCTGTGAGGATGGCTGGGTCCCTAAATATGTACAAACTCACATCTATACGTTTAGGGGCTACTAACCCGGAAAGGGAGAGAGAGGTTACACAGGCTGCCGTTGTTGATCTATTGGCCTGGCCTTGTGCTCAACACTCTACCTGCTCTTTTCTCCAGTGAGCCCATAGTCCCAGACCCACCTATTCTGTGCTCATGGGAGAGGAATTCAAGGTTCAGCATGGCTCTGTGGCCATGTAACTGTCACCCATTTATCCTGTGTGTTGGACTAAATGCCCCTCAAAGATGAAGCTCACTAGAATGATACAGTGAACCTAGATCAGTTGAACTGAAGAGTTAGAGTGAACTTCTTAATTTGGGTTTAGTTTTTGAAGCTATGCATATATGCATTCTTCTGGAAGGAAACTTCAATGACTTTAATGTTCTCAGAGGGGCCTATGAACCTGTGGCTGTGCTCCACTTAGAAATAAATCAAGCAGTTGTGAACATGCTTGTTTTGAAGGCAGCAGAAGCAAATAGGAGTGGCTTGTGTTAGGAACCACATTCCAGCTCATCTATGCTGCTTTTTTTGGGGTATTGTTTTGGTTTTTCGAGACAGGGTTTCTCTGTAGTTTTGGAGCCTGTTCTGGAACTTGCTCTGTAGATCAGGCTGGCCTCGAACTCAAGAGATCCACCTGCCTCTGCCTCCCGAGTGCTGGGATTAAAGACGTGCGCCACCCCCGCACCCCATGGTTTTATGCTGCTTATTAACATTTACATTAACTAGGTGAAACTTGTTCAGGCCTTGCTTTGAATAAAATGGCCTTAGTTTGAGTGAGGTCACTTATGAAATTCGTGACAATGACTGGTATACAGTTAATACTCAGTAGCTAACAGCTGTCATTGTAGTACTGACAATAGCATGAAAAAGTGTCAATGAGTCAATGTTGTAAAGAAAATTGGTCACAAAATGAGGTATATATACTAAAATTTCAACTCCCAAATAATTTGTACATGTGGATAAGAAAGGTAGCCTTGAAGAGATGCCAGTAAGAATGGCTATCTGTGGTTCAACAAGCCTTCCCGTAACTTTAAATTTGTTCCTGTCGTTATACCAAATAGTTGACCATTTGGGAAGCTCTCCCGAGGATCTAGAAATGAGGGTGATTATTCATGATCAAGGATGTTTTTGTGTGTGTGTGTGTGTGTGTGTGTGTGTGTGTGAGGGGAAGAAGCAATGTAGTGAATTCTTTGTAATCAAGATAGATCTAAATTATATCCCACCAGGAAGCTGCCAAAAATCATGTTCAGTATTCAGAACACTGGGTGAATACGTAACAACACAAAATTGTTTTGAGGCCCTTTGAATCTAGAAAATGTTCATGATTTAGAAAAAAATGAATCAAACCATGCTGTGTTGTATCTTAGCACTCGGGAGGCAGAGGCAGACAGATCTCTGAGTTCAAGGCCAGCTTGGTCTACAGAGCTAGTTCCAGGACAGCCAGGGCTGTTATACAGAGAAACCTTGCCTTGATAAACCAAAAAACAATCAAATAAACAAAAGACCAAAGGGGAGGGGGAAACTGAATCAAGATATAGAATTATATGTATACACATACAATCATACACTATACAATGTACTTCTTTGTTGTTGTTGTTGTTGTTGTTGAAATAGGATCTTGCTCTGTTGCCCAGGCTAGCTTTGAACTCCTTGGCTCAAACCACACTGTTTGCCTCAGCTTCTTGATTAGCCAGGACTGCAGATGCATGATAGCATATTCGGCTACAGAAACTCATTCTCATAGTCCTGGAGCTGAAACTCTGAGGTCAGTTTTATTGGCCTGACAGGCCAAGATGACAATGGCAAGCTGGTTCTGCTGACACTGCAGGGTCGTGACCGTTCTCACCTCTCCCAGCTTCTGCTGCCGCCACTGCCAGCATTCTAATCTTTGCTTCCCTAGTCACATGGCCTTTTCCCTGTGGGTCACTTGTTAATATGTTGTGTCCGCGGGAATTGACATAATCAGAGTTGCCAACACTCCTTTGCTGCTTCCGGCTACATTCACAGGTTTCAGAGACTAGTGTGTAGTTATGTTTGGGGACATCATTTAGCAGCCACAAATGGTGATTTTTGTACAGGTGCAATAAAAAAAAGACTGGAATGAAGGTTTTGAAAGTGTTATCTAGGAATGGTGGTCTTGGGGTAGGAGGTTCTGAGACCTGTTTACTTTATGATTATTGCTTTGTTCTACTTTATCTGTGCTAAGGAAGTAACGAATGCCATATACACTCCATAAACTGACCGTTGCTCTGAAAATGACAGCATGTAGGCCATGACGTGCTTCTGCCCTCTCTCCCCAGAGCCTGTGTTCTGGTTCTACGTGAAGGAGGTCCTCAACAAGCACGAACTGCAACGCTTCTACTCCCTGCATCACATCACTGCGGATGTGGGCCGAGGCCGGGCCTGGCTGCGCTGTGCCCTGAACGAGCACTCCCTGGAGCGCTACCTGCACATGCTCCTGGCTGACCGCACCAGGCTCAGGTACCCGGCAGGACAGCCCTGGGCATGGTGGAAGAATCCACAGTGCGTGGAAGGAGCTCTGAGAGGCACACATAACCAGCTCCGTCTGTGCTCACTGTGATCGGGGCCTAGCTACTGTCCTAGGACACAGCCTGCCCCTCCCTCCACCGACTTTTAATTTGGGATTCTTTAGTCAATCTCAAACTGACCAAAGAGATGGAAACTGTATTTGTTATTTTGTTTATTTTGAGACAAGGTCTCACATGTAGTCTAGTGTGGCCTGGGTTTTACTGTGTAACCGAGGCTGGCTTGTTTCTCTACTGCTGGGATTACAGACTGCATGACTAGGCCTGCTCAGAATGTGAGCACTTAAGGAAGAAAGTGTTTTGTTAAAAGCTTCATTTTTCATGTGTCATTTTTTCTTGAGTATAAAGTTTACTCAGGTAGTATAGGTCAGACTGTCAGACTGTATTGTAGTAAGTTGGCCATTTTTATTTCTTCATGTTCTCTTCTGAAGACCAGGCTGACTGGCGCCTATGGAAGCACATGTAGACTCACAGTGGGAGAAGGGATTGCTGTTGAAGTAAGCACTGGATGAGTGGGCTTCTGCCTTCGGAGATGCCTCCTCTCCTGACTCATTGGCAGGGAGGGTCATATAGCCACACCTATAATCCAGCAGCCCCTCAGCAGTGGGAGGAGATCACAAGACCAAGATGAAGATGTTCTAGCCAACCAGCTCCTTACAATATCGGAAACTGCTGCAGAAGCCACTGGCTTAAGAACTAAGCCACTCATAATATACACAGAGATAATCCTAGCTTGGTGGGATTCCCTTGTCATGGTGTCTTTTGCTCTAGCAGTTATTTTCCCTGTAAGGATAGAAGACTAGACACAGTTTATGTTACCTGATGCCCCGAGTGGCCTTGGTCAGTCCTCTCTGGCACCTTGAGTAACTTCCATGTTAGCATGACCTAGAGATGACAGTGAGATTTCATGAATGCAGTAAGCTGGCTTTTTATCAGCACTTGACAGTTCTTTGATTCCAGTTTTCCCACCTGTTTGCAGGCTCAGGTCTCCCTTTCTGCATCTGTAGTCATGTTCCCCCAACCATTCCTTCTCTCTGCTTTACTTTTTCTTTCCTGGAAATCAAACTCAGGTACTGGTGTGTGTGAGACAATGCTCCCCCGCACCCTGTAATGTTTCTTCTATTGGTAATTCTACCCGTGATTCTGTGGGTACTCTTAAAAATGCTCTAGGGTAAGCCAGGCGGTGGTGGCGCAGGCCTTTAATCCCAGCACTCAAGAGGCAGAGGCAGGTGGATCTCTTTGAGTTCAAGACCAGCCTGGTCTAAAAGAGCTAGTTCCAGGACAGGCTTTAAAAGTTACAGAGAAACTCTGTCTTGAACAATGTTCTAGGGTCAGTGAAATGGCTTTCGGTGGGTAAAAGCTCTTGCTGAGCACACAGGCATGGGCCCAAGTTCATCCCCAGATCCCATGAATCCAATCCTATGGTGAAAGGAGAGAGAACTGACTCCTAAAAATTGTTTATGGACCTCACCTGTGTGCCTGAGTTCACACACGTCCTGCATACACATGTACACAATGATAAACTAAGAAGAAAAAGATAATTAAAACAAGAGTAACAGTAATTCATGTAGGAAGAGTGAGCACAGTGGTTCATGTCCCAGGGATAAGGAGGCAGAGACAGGCAGTCCCTGGGGAGTCACTGGCCAGCCAGCCTAGCCTACTTGGTGATCTTCAGGACAATGAGAGACCCTGTCTCCAAAAAGGTGAATGGATCCTGAGGAATTATACTGGAGGGTGTTCTCCGTATGCATGCACATTCATGGACACACACACACACACGCACACACGCACACACACACTCACACTCAAGGTTCATTTACATGTATGAAAGCTAGTTCAGATTTTCAAATGATTCCAATTTGTGGTGGAACTGGGTGCAATCAAAATGCCAGCTTGACAAGGTGGTTTGTCACCATCCCATGTGGCTCCCCATCTTGTAGTCAGTCACATCAGCAGCTGGTTTTTCACATCTTTTGCTGAACTGCAGGCCACTCAGTACTGAACTGATGTTATTGAAACTGCACTTAGAATTCTGTCACCTGGCACTGTTGACTCTGGTGGTTTATTGCTTAAGAGTCATATAGAGTGCTTGGAAATTGGACTTGGGAGAGCTGCTTTTAGGCCCCGCTGTATCGTGGTTTGGCTATATTGCCTTGTCTACCTGCAGCCTTCAATGAGCCTCCCCAGCTGCTACTGAAATCCACAGGGACCTTTTACCCTCCCAGCCCTTTCCTTGGCTAACCTGGTTTTTGGGTTTGTAGCCTAGCAGTTTTTATAAGTGGATGCCCTGGTTGATGGAGCCCTGTAGCTCTGTAATTGCTTCTGAGATCATCTCTTCTTGTATTAGCCAAATCAGGTAAACCCTGTTGGTGAGCTTGGACTTCCTTTCTCCGGGTTGCATTGCTGAGTGGAGTCCTTCCCTCTGTCCTCTTCATCTCTGCTTCTTTATAAATATGTTTGCATATGTCTATTTCAGTCCTCTAAAGCTCACAGACTCAGGGGACCAAGAAGGAAGTTGTAGGATCTGTGCATTCAAACCTTTGTTTCTAGTGAGAAGCTTCAAAGTAGAGAGGAACAAAATTCCCTCTGGGTGACCAGCAAGGCCTGGTGTTTTCTAGGAGCCATCAATGGCATCATTAGCTAGGGTGTGAATGTCAAGAACTGCCTTTCTCTAAGAGTTTCCCGCTTCTCTTTGCTTTGCAGCACGTTCTATGAAGACTGGTCTTTTGTGATGGATGAAGAAAGGTCCAGCATGCTCCCTACCATGGCAGCTGGTAAGCCTGATTGAGGCAGGGGTGCTGAGCCCTGAGAAGCTTGGTGAACAGAGGGGCTCTGGGGTGCATTTATTGCCCAAGCATTCTGTGATGTTCTGTGTCCCCATGGTTGGAAGTGTACTGTTGGCTTCTTAAGTTGGGGCCATTTATCTAGAATTTGATCCCCATGTAGATGAGGCATGAGGTTGAAGGTCTGGCCTGTGACCTGCCAGGTGAGCCGTGAGGGACTGGGTGGGCAGACTGCCTTGACTCCTGGTTCTGCTGCATGCCAGTTGAATCTTATCACTCTGTCACCTCTTCTTTCCTCCTCTGTGAGGTGAGAATGCTCTTTGATTTTCAGTCACTTTTTTAGGGCTTCAAGAGAGCCATAGAAAAGAAAAGGCCGTGTATGTGGCTTATCAGCATAGAGCAAGACCCTGGATTGATGTGTTGTGGCTTGGGAAATCCTTTGCTGCTCGACTGTCCCTTCAAGGGTGATCAATGTGATAGCATGTCTTTCTTCCAAATTCTTGTTTTTACATACTTTTTCTTCTAAAACCTGACATTAAATCTACATATTGAGGGTCATGTTAGTCTCATCTAGGGACGAGAAAGTCAGGCATTGGCCATGCTTTTCTTTATAAGCCTTAGGATGCTGGTGTCAATCTTGGATAAAGCAATTGGAATGGCGTTCTTGGAACACACTGAGCTCTTGAGGTTTTGGTAGGTGAAATCTTTAGTGCTCACAATCCCGAGAGGGTTACTGTTGTCACCATTGTGAAGGTAAAGAAACTAGAGCTCAGGGAGGTGGCAAAGTTGCTTGACCAAGGTTTCTGAGCTCTTAATTGACTGTTCTGTGGCTCGGTCCAGGCAGCCTCTCTCCAGAACTTCTTCCACGGTCTTCTCCTGGGTGATCCTTATTTCCGTTTGTCATTTGACATCCAGGAGTAGAATGTGGAAAGACCGTTCATATGAACTTCTATCTGCCAATGCCAGTTTCAGATGGTTTTATAGATGCTGAAGATGAGATTTATCCTCTTATGCCCCGTTAGATGGTCTCCTTGCTGATGTTGGAGGTGTGACTGCATGACAGCAAGCACCGCAACCTCCCCTTCCTTTTTGGCAGGTCTGAACTCCATACTCTTTGCAATCAACATTGACAACAAGGATTTGAATGGGCAGAGCAAATTTGCTCCCACTGTCTCTGACCTCTTAAAGGAGTCAACACAGAATGTGACGTCTTTGCTGAAGGAGTCCACGCAGGGCATGAGCAGCCTTCTCAGGGAGATCACAGCATCCTCTGCTGTCTCCATTCTCATCAAGCCGGAGCAAGAGACTGACCCTCTGCCTGTCATATCCAAGAATGTCAGTGTTGGTGAGTCAGAAGGGGTCCGCGGGGTGGCATAGGAGGGCCAGTGAAAAGGAACTGAGAGTAGGGCTGAGAGGAACCCACCTGACAGTTGTCAGTCTCCTCGGGGAACACAGTCTCCTGGTGTTTGCTCTTGTCATTGTCCACTGTGAGAGGGACCCGACAGGAAGGGCAGGAAACCAGGTGGGTCACCTTCCAGCACTTACTTCTCCTCCTCATGTTCTTGGTGCTCAGCAGTGAGTTGAGACTCTGCTAGCACCTGATTAATCTTCTTGGGGATGGGCAGGGGTGATATTTAAAAACAAATGACACAAACAACTTATTGTTCTTGTATATGGGATGAGAGCATGGGCTGCTTCAGGGAGAACGCTTTTGAGCTTGCCTGTATGGGAGGATGCGATTTAAGTAGTGCCTGAGGTAAGAGGGCAGCTCTGAGCTTTGACTGTAGGCAGGCAAGGGGAACTGGTTCAGTTAAGATAAGTTTGCCAGAAGCTGATGATACCCGTAGAGCATTTGGAGTTGTTAGTAGTTGCTATATAGCAGAAACCAAAACCTGGGGCTTAAATCCTGATCCATGTCTTTCCCATATCCCTTAAGGCAGTAATCGTGGCCATCACTTTAAAAATTTAAAAATATATATTTATTCATTTTTCTAGTGAAGATTATACACACTAGGCAAGTGCTCTGCTAGCTATGTCCCCAGCTTTTCTTACTTTTTCTTTTCAAGACAAGGTCTTATTATATATGTTGTTAAGGGTGGCTGTGAACTGACTCTGCAGCCCATGTTGGTCTTGAACTTGGATCTTTCTGTCTTAGCTCCTGAGCAGCAGAACTACAGCCCTGAACCACCAGGCCCCACTTTTAGAATTCTGTTTTATCTGCCTATCTATTTCTATTTGTCTGTCTGTCTTTGTGTATGTGTGTTTGTTTGTGCATTTTGTTTGCACATGTATGTAAGTGCAAAGGCCAGAGGTCATTGTGGGGTATCTTCCTCTATGGTTATACCCCTTGATTTTGTTTTGAGACAGAATCTCTGAGCTGAACTCAGAGCTCACCAGTTGTCTAGACTGGCTGGCCACTAAGCTCCAGGGATCAGCCTGTCTCTGCCCTCCCAGGGCTGGAGCTGTTACTGGTGTACACCACCGTGACCAGCTTTTCTCCAGGACTGGGGTCCAAACTCAAGTCCTGCTGCTTGTGCAGTGGGAACTTTACCTACAGAGCCAGCTCCCCAACCCTCCCCTCAGAACTTTCCTTCTTAGCCTTTTTTTAAAAAGAGCATTTCATTTATTCTGTGACAGTTTCATACTTGTATGTACTGTGTTGTGATCATGTCTGCCTCCCACCCTCCCCTAACATTTTCTCTTCCCACCTTCATTTCCTCTTTGTATTAAAATCTCGCTGCTGCCCTCAAAGCATGGGTGTGGGCTATCCACTGGAGCGCCAGCAACTTAGCAGCCACAGCCCCCTGAAGAAAATCCACATTCTCTTCCCTAGCAGCCATTGACTGTCAGTAGCTCCTCAGACAGGGTGAGGCCTCTTGACCCCCTCCTCCGCCACGCTGGCGTGTTCACTGGCTTGGTCTTATGTAGTAATCACTGCTGTTGTGAGCTCATTACTACAACAGCCAAACCATGTCCAGCAGACGTCATCTTGTAGCACTCCTACCCGCCTTCTGGATCTTACGTTATTTCTGCCTCTGGTGGGGTGGGGTGGGTTTGATTAAGATGTCTCATTGGGCTGAGCACTCACACTGGCCTGTTCTCAGTACTTTGACCAGTTGTGAGTCTCTGCATTGAATGTTGTCCAGTACAAAAAGAAATTGCTCTGACCAAAGTTGAGAGAATCACTAACCTCTGGGTATAAACAGAAATATTTAGAATATTTTTATTCTAAATAAAATATTTTTTATTTTACATGAGTGTTAGCAAAACAACAGTAGTAGGTTCTGCCTGTTGTACCTCTGTCCTCCCCAGTGTTTGCTGTTCTTCCGGAGGACCTGAGTGTGGTCTCTAGCATCCACATCTCAGCGGCCTGTAACTCCAGCCCCAAAGGATCTGTGCATGTTTTACAGAGATACACAGACACAGACACACACATACATACACACAGACAGACAGACACAGACACACACACCCATATATAGACAGACACACAGACAGACACACATACACAGACACAGACACACACACAGATACTCACACACAGACAGACACACAGACAGACAGACACACAGACACTCACAGACAGACAGACACACAGACAGACAGACACACAGAGACAGACAGACACACACCTACATTTAAAAACAGTTTTAAAAAACCTACAAAATGCCCAGCAGTACATGACCGCTATAAACAAGCTCAGTAGTATTTGAGGGAGTTTTTGATCTCATAATGCTTTGTCTGGGCATTTTTTTTCATCTTACAGGTCTTTTGCTGTTTATATATTAAGGTTTTTGGTTTTGTATCTTTATGGGTTTTCTGCGTGTGCAAATGTGTGTGTCTGCGTTTCTATGCATTTCTTGTGCTTCTTCTGTTTCTTTGTTTTGTCTTACTCTGGTTTGTCTTTATTTTATTCTTAGATGCCTGTTTGTCTTCTGATAAGAGAGAAAGAAAGGGTGTGGATTTGAGTGAGTGGGGAGGTGGGGAGGACCTGGGAGGGGCTAGGGGAAACTACATTCAGAGTATATTGTATGAAAACAATCTATTTCAAAAAACCTCATAACCCGAAAGCCCCAACACAGTTCATTCTTGGTGTGATAACAGACTTTGCTGCCCCCACGGGAGCAGAGCTTGGCCTTCCTTCTGTCTACTACCACAGCTTTTCTTTTGCCAGATGCCAGATGTAAGAGGGAGAGGAGGAGGAGGAAGAAGGTGACCAACATTGTCTCTTTTGATGATGATGAGGAGGAGCCGAGCATTGGGAACACTTTAAAGAAGACGCCTGGAACTGCAGAAAGCTCGGAGGAGAACTCCGCCCGCTCCTCCATCAATGTCGTGTCAACCTTTGAAAGCCCCTTTGGACCAAACTCCAATGGGAGCCAGAGCAGCAGTTCCTGGAAAATGGATGCTGTGTCTTTGAACGGGGAGCTGGGCTTCCAGAAGCTTGATGTGAAGAGCATCGATGATGACGTGGATGAAAACGAGGAGGATGTGTGCAGGAACCCAGTGGGAAGGAGACACGCAGGCCACTCTGAGTCGCCAGACAAGTAAGTCCCACCAGAGCGCATGGTGAGGGAGGTGTGCCAGCCATTTTCTAGGAAGTGAGTGAAATGAGTGAGTTTTGGGCTATGGAGGTGGCTCAGTGGGTAAAGTACTCACCGTGCAAGCCTGATGACCTGCGTGCCAGTCCCCAGCATCCCAGATGGATGTGGAGAGCAGGCACCTGTTATTCCCGTGCTCCCAATGGGAGGTGGAAGGTGGAGGCTTTACACCAGATAGCCTGGTATACATAGCAGGGAAGAACAAGAGATCCTACCTCAAACATGGTAGAAAGACAGGACGGAGATGTGAATTTGAACTCTGACCCCCAGATGTGCACCAAGACATGTGTGCATATACAGGAACATAGGAATGTGACATATGACATGCACATACACCATATGTATAATAGCGTGCACTTTTTAAAATTTCTCTGGGGGCATTATTCATTCTTTAGATCTTTTATGACCTTACCCTGATGAGAATTAAGGGAAGTCTACTTAAATGGACTTAATGCAAAATTGACAGCAAAACTGTGTACTTTGAAATTGGTTTCCTCCATCTCTAACTTTGTACTAGCATAGGACGCTCAGGAGAAAGTGGAATTGGCTTGAAGGAGTGTCACTGATTGGCTCTTGAGAGCCTAAGAGAAGAGATTACTGTCCTGTGTGACAATAAGACTTAACCTAAGAACTATGAGGGCTGGTGTTGTGGCTCCATTGGTAGAGTGCTTGACCTGCACCACAGAGTTCTGGGTTTGTGCTTCAGCACTGCATGAGCTGGGTGTGGTGGTATATATCTATCATCAGAGCACGTGTGGGTGGGAGGCTGCAGGAACAGAAGTCCAAGACTGTCTTTAGCCACATAGAGAGTTCAAGGTCAGCACCTGGACCAAATGAGACTATTTCCAAAAGACAAAGCACACTGAGAGCAGTGCTGTGTCAGCAGCCTGACCGTGTGGTGCTGTTTTAGGTTAGTGGGTATCCCTTCTGGTTTGCAGGATGGAAGAACAGGATTCCACAGAGTTGAGATTTGGCAGAGCACTTGGCCAAGCCGATGCTCAGGCTCAGGTTGCTGCTTCCCAGAGCTCAATCTGTCTGCACTTGCTGCCTGGGTGGGATGGAGATTTAAATCGAACACTTGTGTCTGAGGATGTCACGTGGGCCCGCAGTTCTACCCTTGCTTCTACAGTTGTCACACAGCCACTTACTTTTTCTCCTCAGCTCCAGAGCACATGGTGCTAATCATGGCTGACTTCATAGCCCTCCTGGTCAAAAGTGTGACCTGAACGTGTGTGAAAGTGTCTTTTTATGGGGCTGAAATGCCATGGTGCTCTTAATAGCCCCAGGATGCCTCCAGTGCTATGTTTCTGTCGTTCATGTTTGTGTGTTACCAGCGCTTTTATTTCTCTGGAGACTATGTCTGTTTAAAAAGTTTTGGGGGCTGGAGAGAGTACTCAGCAGTTAATCACACTTGTTGCTCTTGCAGAGGATCCAAACTGGATTCTCAGTCCCCATATGGTGAGTCAATCTCAGGGGGTCTGATACTCTCTTCTGGCCTCTGTAGGCACCAGGAACCATGCTTGGGATGCGCATGCGCACAGCTGACCTGCATCTACTCAAGTGCTGAGATTTGATATGCATCATCATGCTTGTTCCTTTTCTTCCTTCCTCCTGATTTGGAGAATTGGCACATATGATTGTGGGATGTGATTAGTTTGAATCCGTAGGTAGACATCGGTAGTAGAAGAGTTTCTGTTCACATCCAGGGGCAGTTTGCTGGCAGAATTCCTTTTTATTTTTTGTGGCAAGGTCGTGTGTTTTTGTATTGCAGCCTCTGCTCTTTGGATGAGGCCCACTTAGTCCAACAGGATAATCTGTTTAACTAAAAATCCATTGATGTAAATGTTAATCTTCAAAAAATACCCTCACAGCAACTTCTAGCATAATGTTTGACCAAGTATCTGACAGAGTTGCCCAGTCAAGTTGGCACATACAGTTAATCATTGAAACTGCCTTCAGTTCCGTGAGGGCTTGAGAATGCCACTGCATTGTGTGGCTCTGTAGGTGAGTGTGCGGGAGTCAGTGCCCCACACCCAGTCATTTTTCTTCCTACTTCTGGTGCCATATAGTGCAGCTTGGAGGGGAAGCCAGCTTGTAAGCCAGGGGCATTGTGATGTGTAAAGGGCACAGAGCAGTGCTGGGTGACCTTGGGAGCCTGGGCCTCCATGGACCATGGACAGCCTCTCCGTAGTATCCAGAGGCATCTTGATTGAAGAGTCTACAGAGCTAACTGGGGAGGAGCTGAGCAGTGATGAATGGCTTATTGAGTAATACTTGGCTTTTGATTTAAGCTCGTAGTCACAGGAGAGGTCTAGAGTCTGCACACAGCAGTCCTGTGGGGGAGTGTGGTCAGGCTAGGAGGCTCAGCCCCGCTTGCCGTTGCTTCTGGCAGCAAAGTCTGATGTTCTCTTGTTTTTAGGATGATCTGGTGGCCCAAATTTGGGCTTACTTTGTTTACTGGTAGTTTAAACAATTCTTTGGTGCCTGATCCCTCTTTATCCAGATTCCGTCACAAACATTGGCTTTGTTTTCTGTTTTTCTTCAGAATAGGCAATCACTTTATTTTGGAAAGGAGTTTTTCAACCATCTTGTTTGTGCTCTGACCAGTAAGGAAGTGAGTTTGGAGAGTGTTGGGGTAACTCAGAGAGTCACAAGTTACATGTCCATCTCGTGACTAGGCATCCTGTTCCTCACACCTCCTAGTTGTCTACAGCAAGAACAGGGTGAGCAGTGAGCCACAGTTCATCCACCCAGGGCTTACAAGGTTCAGGCTGGCTCCATGGTCTCCCACCCCCCATTCCAGGCCCAGACAGGCACGTGCACAGTCAGGCAGGAAGACTGCATGGGGCCTGCTGATAGTCAGGACAGAAGATGGTTAATAAACTCTCTAGACCTGGGTACAGAATCTGCCCCGAGGACGTTGTCTCAACTCAGGAAGAGCTGAGCAGAAAGATTCCAAAGCCCTTGTTCAGGGAAGCAGAACACCTGGTCTGACCTGAATGTGCACCAGGCGCTAACCTCCAGGGGTGGGTGGGGGCGGGGTGGGGAGGGTTGGGGGTAGGGCTTGTCTTTATGGGTGCAGAGCGTAGACTCCTAACACTATTTTGTTGTTAGAATGGGTTTTATGTATGTATGTATGTATGTGTTGGAGTTAGCCTTTTGGGCAATTTTCATTTGTTTGTTTTTGTAATCCTGATGCTTGTATGTTTTTAGAATGCAGGTATTCTCTGTTTGCTGGTAACTTAACCCATTCTTTGATACCTTGGCTCAGTGTTGACACAAATGTTGGCCGCTGAGGATGCCCTTGCAGCGGGTTGTGTTTGGGATGATGTGGCCACAGTTTCTTCTTTCTCTTTAGTTTTCACATTGTTTATGTTTTTAAACAAATATTTTGTTTTAATGATAAGCAATATTTTCTGTTATTTTAAAGTCAATCTTAAATTTTTTTACGTGTGTGTGTATGAAGCTAATTTATATAGTCAGTTCTCTCCTTTCATCATATGAATTCTGGGGATCAAAATTGTGTTACCAGGCTTGACAGCAAGCTAAGCCACCTTGCTGGCTTTTTAAAGTCATTCTTGATGCCATATTTTGAGGCCTGTTGCTTCAGGAGTCAACTGAGACAGTGGACCTTTGGGGCACTTTCTCTTGGGTTTGAAATCTTAACCCTTTGTGAGTCTGGCTTTACTTTACCTCACACAGGTCGGTGAGAAATAGTAAGAATTGTCTTTGAAACAAGTGGAAAATTCCACATGCCCAGAGAGGTAGTGGAATGGTTGGTACAGGATTTGTTAATCCCACCAGGCGAGAATAAGACCATTACCACAAATTTTGAGTCAAATTTAAAGCAAGCTTTATTAAATACTGGCCAGGGTGATGGACACTGGCCAAGTTCATAACTGGGATTCGCAGAGAATGTCTATCAATTGCAAAACTCATGAGACTACGTGCCTCTTGCCTTCATCCAACTGGGGGCAAGCATACTTATACTTCCTGCTTGTGTAACTCCTGCTTACTGGATCAAGCACATCCTGTGCAGTTGGAGCAACCAACCTTGTTTACAAAAGGAAAAACTTTGTGGCTTGTTCTTGTACATAAACAACAGCCCTCAGCATTCCAGGAAGTTACCTTTCCTTGGGCAAGTGGAGCTTACAGGTCAGAGGCATTTGTGTTCTATAAATCTCTCAGGCACCGAAGTGTAAACTAGAGCATAACTTTAGCTCTCTAGACTGGCCAGTGCCGCTGCCTGCTCTAAGAATGTGCCACTCCCTTTGTCACCATTGTGTAAACTGATCACATAACCACTCCATGGTGTGGTTAAGGGAAAGGTCATTATGATAGATATGTGAGAGAGGACAGTCAGAGGCATCTGCAAGAGTCATAAGCAGAGAGAGAAAGTAGATTGAACATGGCCAGTGCTATCTGAGAGAGGGGAGAATAGCAAGGGATAAAGAATAGAGGAAACATAGTGAGAGAAGCCGGAGAGGAAATCAGAATGACAGACTGTAAGAAGGATGAGTAGCTGAAAAGGCGCAGGGTGCGGGGTGGAGTCAACTAGGATGTTAGCATGGACTTTGGAATGCTGGGAGGCACTATAGGTCTGCATTAATTGGATGGAGAACCATAGGTCCCTTTCTCAGAGGTGAGGGAAGTGGTTCCTTTTGGTAGAATGTGCCTCACAAGTTTCTGAGGAATGCTGGTTTTTGTCTAACTGCCAGATATTCTCCTACAGTCCAGGTTGAGCTGGGCCTAGACTCAATTTTGGACAAGTCAGTTGGCCTGCCCTTTTAGGGAACAATCTGACAGCCACCTGTTGCATCAGAGCCCCAAGAGGGTTGTTCTAATAGCCTAGAAACACAACTCTGTTTACTAACACTTGGGGGTCAGTGGCCACATGGTCCAGGGCAGGAACTGTCCCTCTCTTATTCCACCCTGCTGTCTGAATGGCCCTGTGCTTGCCACAGAAGGAAAACAATTCATTGGTAAGATGCTGTTAGGACTGTTCCCTGGGTTTCCTACCCAGTGATCACCCCAGCTAGATTTGGTTGTTGCATTTTAAAGATTTATAAAGAAATAGCCACCTAGATGTGTGTGCCACAGTCTAAAATGTTTACAGAGATGTCTCATCCTGTTCCCTTAAGTTAAGTGTACAGGCTTGTTCATGCAGGAGACTGGACACCATTGTGGTTTGGTTTGGAAGGCCTCAGTCTTTGTGCTGTTGAGAATGGCCAGTGACGCTGTTGTGAGACAGGGTCTCACAGTATAGCTCAAGTTGTCTTTGAATTCGTCCCGCCCTCTTGCCTCTGCCTCAGAAGCTTGGGATTACAGGTGTTAGTCACCATGCTTGTGATCAGGGTCTCTCTCTGTGGCACTGCAGACGAAACCTTGAGCTTTGTACATGCAAGCACTGCACCATGGAACCATGTGGCCGTGAAACAGGGACCTTATCATGTGGCCCTGGCTGGGCAGCCTCTCACCAGGCCTGCTAAATCACACGGTTTGGGGCTTGGGAGACAGATGGCTTATTGATTCAGAGCACTGGCTGCTCTTCCAGAGGACCAGCTTCACAGCTATGCGAACTCAGTAAAGCCACCAAACTGGACTACCCCAAAAGAAAAGTTGGGAAAATTCAGGATTGCTATGGTTATTGCTTGGGGCATAGAGAATAGCAAAAGGCTGGGAAAGCTTCACCAGTCTCTGAAGAGAAAGGTTGGGAGGGAGCCTGGGCCAGGGTATGCTTTAATAGGAAACTAGATGACCCATTGCCTGTAGGGACAGAGAAGGGAAGTAGTGACTTCCTGACAAACAGAAACTGGCTTCACAAGGTTCTGAGGAATACTATTTAGGGTGCTTTTGTTTAACTCAGAGTCTGGCCTGAGCAGAGCCCAGACTGTCACTTTAGGGACTCACTTTGAACATAACAGCAACCATTTGTGACTCTGGTTCTGGAGGATCTGATGTCTACTAGCCTCTGTGGGTACTGCATGCATGTGGTACATAGAGATACACACAGGCAAAAAACCCATACACATAAATCTTAAAAAATTAAAAATTTTAATTATATAATGAGACTTTTCTTTTTCTCCTCCCTTTCCTTACTTTATGTAGTAGGCGTGATTTTGATCTGTTGAGTCTCTTTATGTTCAAAGGTAGTGCACAGTAATGATTGTGTGAAGAAGGTCAAGGTAATCTCAGCTATATGTAGAGTTCTAAACCAGATAGCCTTGTCTCTCAAACAAAGAAGTAAAAAATCAAAACCAAAAACTCTTGCACAAAAAATACATACCCTTCATTCTCAACCAAATTAAGCCAAAGCAGGAATCCAAGTTGGTGATATGTTGAGCTATACACACAGCACAGCGGCCTTGGCTTCCCAAGTGTTGGGTTTATTGGTGTACTCTTCTGCCGTTGGCTGCAATTCTCTTTTTCTAAAAGGGTCTTCCTCCTCAGCCTTCCTGCCTGCTCCACACTTCTGAACTGAGCCTCCCTCTTCTTGTTCTTGAAAGATGTTGTGATTGATGTCTGGGTCCTCTTCCAGACTATAAGCTCTACGAGAGCATCACAGCCATTTGCTGGCTCTTTACCCCTGTGCTGAGCACAGCAAGCTCTGGTAAAAGAACAAATGAGGGTCTGACTGGGCTCTGTGGTGCTGAGTCCCAGCCCATGGCTTATTCTGTTTTAGCCCCATCTAGACCTGGGAACTTGAGGAGGCCCAGGAGATGTTGTGATAAGTTCTGAGGCCCTGTCATGCAGCTGCATTCTTTTCTCCATAGGCCGCTGGATGGGAATGCCTGCCTCCCCCAGGTGCATGGCTGGGCCCCGCTGCAGGTGCTCCATGGAGATGCTGATGCCGACACTGAGGTCCTCTTCCCTGTCAGCGGAGTGGGCTCCTATGTTGCAACAGGTGAGTGCTTCCGTCCTCTCTTCTCCAGTAAGATATTTTGCTCCAAGGACCAGATGGGGATTTTCAGTTATCTATACATTTAGAAATAGAATCTAGGAGATCTGAGGCTCAGGGCAAGGACAGCTTGTGGACACTCAGAAGTAAGTAGTAGCTTAAGGGGTCTCCTATAGAACTGGGTGTTTACAGGTACTCCGGCTGAGAGCTTCAGGGTGAAGTGGTTGGCAAGACCCTAAGGTGACTCACGTGCTTGCTCCAACAGTTTGTGGCTAAACTTGGCCATATTAAAGTAACAACAAATAGTGACCATTATTTTGCACCTTGGGAGATGGGAGATGGCACCTGCACCCTGTAAAGGCTCCTATGCCTTTTTCTCCTTTCTCTGCTGTGTCTGCATCGGCACTGCCTATTTGGTGATGGTTTAGAGATGGTCAGCTTATCTGAGGGCATTTCTCAGCTCACTGAAGCATGTGGCCTGCTAACCCTGCATTCCCATTGGGTCTAACATCCTTTAGATTCTTTAATCTCTCTTTTAGCCTTTGGAGTCGCTTGTTAAGTTGAGGAGTGTATTAACTCGTTCTCTATTGCTGTGATAAAACACCATGAAATGGAGCTTATGGAAGGAAGAGTTTGTTTTGGCTTTTGGTTCGGAGGGGTAAGAGCCCATCGTGGTGGGAGGCATGGCAGCAGGCATGATGACAACCAGAGAAGGGAGTGGAGAGCTCCTGCCATCCGTCCTGAGCAAAGAGCAGAGAGAACGATCTGGTAATGGGAAGGGCTATACATTCTCAAAGCCTGCCCAGTGCTGTACTTCCTCCAGCAAGGCTATACCTCCCCATAGCCTCTCCACACAGCACCACCACCGAGGATCAAGTATTAAATACCTGCACCTCTGGGTGCTAGGTCTCATTTAGACAAGTACAAGGAATGACTGCCACATACTACTGTGGTCTGTTATGGTAGACTTTGGAGTCCTCTGGGAAGGCAGCTTTATTCTTGGCAATCAAGATGCTGTGGTAGTTGACAGGTGGCTGCATTGGGTCACATGACATGTGGGGTTCAGGATGTTTTTTGTTCAGCATTTAGCTTTTCTGCTGAGTGTATGGTGTTAGACCATAAGATCGGAAGGGAAATCCCACCTGAGGTTTTATGTTCCGGGAGGAGACAGAGGGTATCTTTATTTGTGGCAGCACTGATATTGAACCAAGGCCTTGACAATACTATACACGTGCCCTACCACTGAGATATATCCTTACTATTTTTTATTTTTATTTTATTTCATTTTTTTTTCTAGACAGGGTTTATCTGTGTAGCCTTGGTTGTCCTGGAACTTGCTCTGTAGACCAGGCTGGCCTTGAACTCACAGAGATCTGCCTGCCACTGCCTCCCAAGTGCTGAGACTAAAGGCATGTACCACCACTGCCTGGTATTTTTTTTTGTAGCTTTTAATCATTTTTTTTCCCCAAGATAGAGTTTCACTGTGTAGATCTAGCTGGCCCATATAGACAGGCTAGCTTCAAACTCTCAGAGATGTCCCTGTCTCTGCCTCCTGAATGCTGAGATTAAAGGAATGCATCAGTAGTCTTTAAAATTCTTTTCCATTTTGTGTGTCTATGTGTGGGCCTACATGAGTGCATTTGAGTTATGTGTCCATGGTGGCCGGAAGAGGGCCTTGGATCCCCTGGCACTGGAGTTATAGTTGACTAT